GGTGGGTGGCGTGCCCAGAGGCAGGGGGGAAACTAGCTCTGTGGCTAGTCAGGGACCGCACTTTGCCACAGATATGAAGGTTTTTTTCCCAAGGTGGAGCACTTTGCATTTCTCCATACTGAATGCCATCAGGTTTTCATCCACCCACCTTGCAAGCCTATTGAGGTCGGCCTGGATTACCAGCCTGTCCTCAAGTGTGGACACTCTCCCCCAAAGTTTGATGTCGTCAGCGAACTTAATCAGTTGGCTTCTGACATCAGAGTCAAGGTCGTTTATGAAGACATTAAAGAGTACAGGTCCGAGAACAGAGCCTTGGGGGACACCACTAGTCATGAAGCGCCATGTTGATTCAGTTCCATCAACTACCACTGTCTGGGTCCGGCCTTGGAGCCAGTTCCCTAGCCATTGGACTGTAGTGTAGTTGAGGCTGCAGCTGGCCAATTTTTCCAACAGGATATCATGGGACACCAGGTCAAAGGCTTTGTAAAAGTCCAAATATATGATATCAACCTCTGTCCAGGTGATATGTCACCTGGTCATAGAAGGAAATGACAGGCAAGACCTATCCGCAACAGACCCATGCTGGCTGTCTCTCAGGATGTTGACTCCTGTTAGCCTGTTGAGAATGAGTTCTTTGATAATTTTTCTACTGCCTCTTCTTTCTGGTGGCTGTGAATTTGCAGACTTCGGTTCACCACAGCTCACTTTGCCTTCTAGAACAGACTGAACTATTGCTACTGGTAAAACCGGGTGTTCAGCACAGGCACTGCAGCCACTCAGGGGGGCATCTGGTTCAGATGTCCAGGACTAACCAGTTCTTCCTTGATCAGCATGAGGCACTTTTCCCTGAAGCAAAGGAAAGTCTCAGCATTGCTCACTTACTCACCAGGGGATTTGCACTAGTTGGAAAGGCAGGAGTGTGAAAAGGGCTGTTTCTACTTTTTATCCTACTGTCACTTCTTTATTTCCCAGCCTTCATCTGCACTGTATCCAGGGAAACAAACTGTATCTACGCTTAAGTTTAATACATTTTGTATTGCATATAAGGTAAGGGGGCAGCCCCTCTTCATTAGCAAGATGTCTCAAGGAGAAAAACTGGCTGGGGAGTCATAGATTTCAACTGTCAGATCAAGGACAGGATATTTACATTTGATTTAACCTCACACACATTTTGATAACTACAATAAGGGATCAACTTTGGTGGTCCCTGCCCAGCTGCTCAATTGGATACACAGCTCTTTCCATGAAACTGTGTCCCTTAATGCTGAGCCCTTTTACAGATTACACTGCTACAGGGATTAAGAGAACCATGGTGCAAAGTGGTATCTGCCTTTATTCCACTACTGTGTTAACTTCCCAGCTGGTGTACTCCACAAAATGCATGTTATGCAACAGTAACAGTAATCAAAGCTTTGCACATTATGGAGATGGAAACGAGTTAGGTGGAATTCTTGAACCCAGCTCTGAGAGAGGAAGTAAAAGCCCCTCTAGGGTGTCCCAAACCCTCGCCCCATGGACCCCGATACTTACTGCAGGGAGTCCAAAGAAGCAGCGGCCAGGAAGAAATGCTGATGCAGGATCTGCAATTTCAGAGCTGCCTGAGCCTGCATATCAGTGTGGGCAGGGCTTCAGAGAGGCGCGGGCTGCTCAAAAGGCAGCCAAGAACACAGCCGGCTGGGGGAAGAGCGGGATGCTGGCCGGGAGATGCCAGCTGCGGAGCTGGGAAGCACAAGACCCAAGTGCGGGGGAGTGAAGCTGAGCATCTGCCGGAGGACTCCAGCAGATGAGATAAGGAGCACAAGCCTCGGGGACCAAGGAATACCTGGGAATGGCACCAATGCCCTATTAGGGAACCCAAGTACAGTTGCTGGGGATGGCAGCAGGGGGCTGCTAGCCCTCTCAGGCAGCTCGGCGAGGAAGAAGACCCAGCCCTGCGTGGGAATTATGAGCTCCATCAGCTCACGAAGAACAGGAGATCAGCTACAGGTCAGCTGGGACCCGGGGGCAATCACACTAGGAAGCCTGACAAGGGTGGAGCATGGGGCAGCTGCCCGTCCCCATAACTGCTGGGGGAAAGGAACGGATAAGTTCCCCTTCTTCTTCTTTCCCCGAGTGACCAAGCAGGCACTGGGAGATGGGATCCAAGGGGCCCACCAGCGGAGGCCGGACACTTTCTATTGGGTTACAGTATTTTTAGTTACAGTCAGCCCCAAGCTGGGGCAGGTTTAGTTACCCAAGCCGGCCCAAAGTTGAGGGACCAGCTACGGGGAAGGTTGTGTTGACTGAGAAGACCCAACCCATTCTGAGGTGGGCGGTGTGGATGAGACAAGATCATCCAGGGGAAGACCTGCAGGGTTCAGTGTTTGCCCAAGGCTCTGGATGTGGTAAAGGTGGGGTAAAGGGGAGGTTTGAAGCCCCATGAAGAAAGACCAGGGTCAAGACCTCTTTGCTTTGGGGCCACCTGTGGGGAACTTCCTCCCCAATAAAGAACATCAAAGACATGGCAGACATGTAGGAGCAGCACCTGAACCATCTAGGTAGCACCAGAGCCCAATCTCACCCTGACGTCACTTGGAAGCAAGGCACCTACCAAGAAGGGGCCAAAGCCCTACAACACCTACAAGCGACACAGGTACAGCTCTGGGTTAACTAACTTCAGATTGTCAGTCTACAGGGAAGATCCTGCCTCAAGCTGATTGTTATTTATTTTAGTTGAAAATAGTAAAGCAATAAGCATACTTAGACAGATTCTCTGCTGGCATAAGGATCTTAAAAGTATACTGATAAAAATCATGAAAACACTGCAACTGTAGAGCCTATATGTATACATGTAGGTATATGTAGCATATGTGATGGTACAAAACTCAGCAATGCTCATCTCTGGGATCATTTGCAGAATTTATAAATGTCAAGCACCAAACAGAAGTTCATCCTGATAAAATCTTTATCAGACTCCACCCCATTAGGCATTCATTATAGCTCTGTTCTCTACAAAATGAATGTGTGCATATATGCAGGTAGTTAATAAATAAATCGGCAGTAGATGGCACTAAAAATAAGCAGCATTGTTCATAGGTTTCCCAGGTGCAATTAAAATTGTTGTGAAAGCCTGAAAATGGTTTCCTGAGTGCAGATCTCTACCTGGAAAATTTAACATGCTTTCAGCAAATTGTATGGATGGTCTGGTTTCAGCTGTGTGTGTACGTGTGTGTATGTGTGTGTGTGTGTGTGTGTGTACACACACACACACACACACACATACACACACGTACACATATGTGTATGTATGTATATGTGCAGGTCATTTCAGGAAAATAACTGCCTTGTCTATTCTCCTGAAAAAAAATATTTAATGACTTCTTTCATTCTGTTCAGGTTACACTGACATTGTTATTGCTTTCAGTATTGACACTAGGTCTAAAATCTCTTAATGTCTAGAAGGGGTAAAAGCAAGAGTTAAACTCTGAAATAGCTTCACATTTCATGGTTAAAAGTTTCTGGAAATTTTGCACATTAACTTAAATTTTTTTGAGCATATGTTGCAATCTTGTTTTTATTTTCTTATTACCCAGAAGATGATTCTATTTCTTCCTTATCAAACCCAAAAGGAAGCTTACTTTTTAACTTAGATTCTTAAAAATAAAACCAACATACTTGGAGAGCTCACTTTCTGACAAAGACTGAAATAGCCATTATCTTGAGAAGAAAGTATAGATAAGAAACTGAAGAATTTCTCAAGGAAGTGTTTGGTAGTTCCTAGCATAAAGCCTATGACTTCTTATTGGAATTTATGCTCAAACATGTCACATTTATGCTCACATCGGGCTCTGAGGCAGGCCAGGCTCTGCCTCTATGCAGCATACATAGCCACTGAGCATACTGAGCCTTTGCTCTGTGGGTCCTTGCCACTCTGCTAGCTGGAACTGATTGCTGCCCCATCCCTAGCCCTGGCCAGAGTGACACCATGGTCCAAGGGGGGAGAGGCAAGGGGCAGAGCTGGGGCTGATGGAGGAACAGCAGAATGCCCAGTGGATCAGTCAGCTGGGCACTCAGTTCTGTTCCCAAAGCACTCCGAAAGACCATAACAGGTCAGAATGTTTCTAACACTATGGGATTCCTAGCTGAAATCTCTGAGGTTTTTCCCTGTGAATCATGTTTGCACACATCACAGGATCTCAAGGCACCCCAGGGTGCTCCAGCCCCTGGTTGTAAATCATGGTTCTAGGGCTTCTCACAAGGTCTCCAAGTCTAGGTACTTTCCAGGGTTGTTGGTGGGTCAGAGGCAACCACACAGTCCACAAGGCAGAGGAGGAGCAGAGACCAAAGGAATACAGGGAGGTTTGATTATTTTTTTTTAACCATATTATTTGATCCCAGCACATTTCGCATATGCATGAAAGGCACTGGTTATTAAAAGCAGGCTATCTGATGGATGATTAAAACCCCGGCCTTGATATGGGTCTGTTGTTAATCCTCAGCACAATGCTCTAATGATCAACTAGCATCTGCTCCCCATATATGCTTGGGCACATTTAGAAAGGGGTCTTTTGTTTCCTGTGCCTGCAGAGCTAAATGGAGGCAAGTTCTTCTATGCTGCTGAGGTCCCAGCTGAGAATTCAAACATTTTGAGGTTTGTAGTCATTTAGCACTTGTTGACCACGCAGATCAAACCATCATGAACCTCATCCACCAGAGGAGTTAACTGAGGCACAGAGAAATTCAATGATTTGCCTAAGGTCACTCGGGACTGATGCTAGGAATAGGAGTCAGCTGTCCACAGCCAAACACCCTGCATGCTGGGCCCAGCCCTTTTAGACATGTAGCAATGAATGTCTCTTTAGCTGCAACCTTGAGAACCAGAATATAAAACCTTTCATTAAAAGCAGAGCCCTCTTTGCAGAGATCCTCAGCACACTTGCTGAGAACTGCCCCTGCTATGTCCTGGCTAAAGTCTGGCTTGTCCGTTGTGTTAAACTTCCTAGCAACCACACTGTATGTACCTGCATGTGCGCAACTTGCGAGAGCCAGAACTGCTGGGACAGGGTGGTGGAGTCTGGTAGGACCAGCTGTAGTCAGAGCCTTTCAGATGGCAACACCATGCAGGCCCTGCAGGAGGAAGAAGAAAGCAGGGCTGGGTTAAGTGCTGGTTTATTAAGTGTTTCTGTTCCCTTCTAGTGAGATCTGCCATGAGCATCAGGGCAAGTGCCTTCACTAACTGGAACTTGGCCATTACAGTATCCACTGAGTAAAGAGGATACCAGTGCTCTGGTGGGGAGGAGCAGGTACACTCATGCCTATGCCCCTGCAGATTCCCAGCCATGTCCCCAGCCCCCTGCCTGAAGGGGACTAGAACCCCCCTACACACACACGGTGGCTGCATATAGCAATCTTGTCCACAGGAAGGCTTCACACAGAGGGGGAGTTCAAGTCAACCTTGTGGACACTATCCTCCCTGAGTTATGGCCATGAAGCCTTGCCAGAGGAGTTCAACCAGTCAAGAATATAAGCAACCCAGTAACCACATGGGGAGAATGTACTGCATATTCAAACCACTTAAATGTTAAAATAAAATCAGTTCAGTGTCAGTCAAGGCAATGACTGCTGTATGGTAATCTGAGAAATATCAATGCATTTTAACTACATTGGTGGAGAGACTTGTGTCACCCACCATGGAAATGCTTGCTTGCATGTGTGGAGGAAGGGGAATAATAACTGCAGCCATTTCAATGGTGTTAACAAAACACCATTGATCTTGCTCTGATAATGTTTCATGTCCCACACCAGGAGTTCCAGTTCCTCCATTTTATTGCCCAGACTCCTTTCACTAATGTACAAACATTGCTGTTGTTTCCTCCTAACCTTACATAACTTCCTAGTTTAAATATGTGTGCCTGAAATATCTGTCTGCCTTTCGTTTCTCTCCCCCTTTCTTAGTATGCTTCTCTCCCTGGCCTCTTTCTCATTTATCCAATTTCCCTTTTGCCTCATTTTCAACTTTCCCAGGGTGGAGATTTTGAGGGTTCTTCCCAGCTTCCTCCCTTGAGTTCCTAATTATCTTCTTATCAGTTGGGCCACCAACTATTTCTTACTGACTAAAGTGGAGCCTGACCCTGGAGGAAAGCCTTCCATCCATTAATGCCTGCTAATAATCAAACATCCCATAGCCTTCCCAACTGCATCAGTCCTGGGGCCATTCATTAATCGTCATTAACTTGTTCTACCTCACTTAATGTCACTTGAGCTTCTACCTCTTTCAGCAACTCCCCCAGCCTAGCAGTTATTCTTGATCCTTGTTAACAAGTATCTGTCCTTATCATTTGGTCCTATGAGCAATTGATATTGCCCATAGGGCAACTGAGGAGCAATTACTCGAGTCTTGTTTCTCACATCACCTGTAGTTCCACAGTTTGTATCTTTCTACATTCTTTTCTTTTCATTTTCCCAGCCTTCCTTTAGGACTGGTCTATGTATCCTTCTTACATGACAGTCACTCTAAAACCTATGCATTATCCTCTGCTCTTTTTCCTTTCTTGTCTGCAGATAGTGTCTTTTGTTCCCTCTTAATCTCTCTTCGTCAACGAGAGCCAACCAGGGGTCAGCAACCACCCACAGGCACTGCCAGCAGCGGCGGCCAGCGGGGATCATGGACTGCCCACAGATGCCACTGGCAGTGTTGGCGCCGGGGTGGCAAGTAGTGACCGCCTGCAGGCACTGCCAACAGTGTCGGCGGTGCCTTTTTGTAGTGGGTACACAGCCATGCTCAGGTGGTGCACATGCACTCATGTGCACCCCCTACGCGTCGCCCCTGATAATGAGCAAAATGGACCTCAGATTTGACCCAGTAAATGACAGTTCTTATGTTCTAGGTGTCACGGGTGCCATCTTCTAATTATTGTTTTAAAAAAACAAAAGCCTTGTTGACTGGGGGTGAGTGGGGGAAAGCCCTCAAAAGCAACACTCTCCCATAAATTTCTTTAAACACATGCACAGAAATGGAGCCAAAACCATGCAAGCACCATGTGAAACTCCTTCTACAAACTCCTAGTCCAGATCCCCTCATAGAGGTTCTCAATGGACACTGGCATGTCAGCAACACTGCCTCCTCCCCACAAGACCCTAGACTTCCTGGACAAGTCCTAAGAAGCTCTGCTGATCAGGTCACTGCTAGTTTTGCCTCTCTGTAGGCATTATGCAGAGCTTCAGGTCTCCATCTGAAGCTTTCACATGTTTGTGTATTCTGACTGCACAGGACACACCTGAGCCATGTGAAGTCATTTCCGGTCTGGCAATAACAGTTTCCAAAAGTTTTCAGTGCCTAGGAACAGGGGATGAGAGTGAAAGTACCTGGGACACAGCAGCTTCAGTCAGCAGGGATTACACCTAGCACCACAGAACCTTGCAAAAGTGGGAGCCTCTGCTGCCAGAGCTAAAAGACTCATCCCTGGGAGCCAAGGCTGTAAAGGTTCATCAACCTCCACCTGCCTTCCAGCCACCACTAGAGGGGATTAGAGCACTGCACTGAGAGGTTTCCATTTCCCTTTGAAGTGAAGTTTGCAGACTCCTCTACAAAAGCTGTTTTGTAAATGCCCTTTGAGGATTAGAACTGAGACTGGAGAGAGAGTGGTTGTCTTGTGCAAAATGTGCATCCACAGGTAATTGGGTACTTCTATTTTTGATAGATTTTTCAGTGTGCATTCATTCTGGTATGCAGAATGAACATTCTGGTACCAAACACTAGCTGCGTACCAAAATGAACACACACCGAAAATCTGTCAAAGACAGAAATACCCAATTACTTGTGGGTGCACATTTCTCATAAGATAACCATGCTCGCTCCAATCTCTCAGTTCTAATCCTCAAAGGGATTTTATAAAACACCTTTTGCAGATGAGCCTACAAACTTCACTTCATCAACCGACTTGATAGCACCACAAAAATTTGATTTTTGGAGGCAGCTGATCATCCTAGGTGCTAGAAGGGGACACGGGTAGACAAGCAATGGTACTGGACACTAGGCTGTGCAAAACGGAAGTGTTTCATTTTGACCAGCGTTTCGACGTTTCAACAGAACAGTGTTTCGTTTCGACTTTTGTTTCGAATCAAAACGGCTGTTCAACCCTGTTTCGACGTTTCACCCATAGGATATAATGGGGAAGGATGAAACAGACTATAGCTTTGTCATTTCTGGCCCTATTTGGATGAATCCTGCAGGAATCGTAGCCCCTTCTGAGTGCATGATGTGTGCTAAGTTTCAAGAAGATAGGTGCAGGGGGTTCAGAGAAACTGCACCCCAAAATTTTGAGAGCAAAACTCACATCACATGTATGTGTTAAACCACGGCAGGGTCAAAACTGCAGGCATGCTAGCCCCTGCTGAGGCAACAAAGCCTGCCAAGTTTCAAGGTGATAGGTGCAGGGGTTTGTGGGGAATTGCACCTCAAGCTGCTGACAGGCAAAACTCATAATATAGATGACCCTGTGTGTGTTAAGGCAGAGTGGGCTGAAAACTGCAGGGGTGGTGGCCCCTGCTGAGGCCACAAAGCCTGCCAGTTTCAAGGAGATTAGTGCAGGGGTTTGGGGGAAACTGCACCTCAAGCTGTGGACAAGCAAAACTCGTGACTTGGGTGCTTGTGCAACTGTGTCTGTCTTGGGGCACGGTTGGGGAGACACTACTGCCGGCCTGGCTGGTAAGCTACCGTGTTTCCCGCTAAGGAGAGGAAATAATCAAGACAGACAATCAACTGCCCCAAGACAGAGACAGTCAGTTGCACAAGCACCCATGTCACAAGTTTTGCCTGTCAGCAGCCAGAGGTCCAAGGCCCCAGAACCCAGAAGCCCTGCACCCATCTCCTCAACAGCTGGCAGACTTTGTGGCCACAGCAGGAGCTACCATCCCTGTAGCTTTCACCCTGCTGTGCCTTAAGACACAAGTCTCACCCATGTCACGAGTTTTGCTTGTCCGCAGCTTGATGTGCAGTTTCCCCCAAACCCTGTACTTATCTCCTTGAAACTTGGCAGGCTTCATGGCTTCAGCAGGGGCTAGCATTCCTGTAGTTTTGACCTTGCTGTAGCTTAACACATACACGTGACATGAGTTTTGCTTTCAGGATTTTGGGGTGCAGTTTCTCCAAACCCCCTGCACCTATCTCCTTCAAACATGGCAGACTTTGTGGCCTCACCAGGGGCTAGCATTCCTGTAGTTTTGACCTTGCTGTAGCTTAACACATACACATGACACAAATTTGGCTCTCACAATTTTGGAGTGCAGTTTCTCCAAACTCCCTTCACCTATCTTCTTGAAACCTGGCACTCTTTGTGCCCTCATAAGGGGCTACCTTTTCAGCAAGTTTTATCCAAATCTGTCCAGAAATGACAAAGGTATAGGCTGTTTTGACCTTCCCCATTATAGCCTATGGGCGAAACGTTGAAACAGCGTCGAAATGGCGAAATGTTTCAACTTGCCTCATTTCGTTTCGAGGCTGTTTCAACCATATCTGTTTAATTTTAATTTTGCTGTTTCGACCTTGAAACAGGTCGAAACAACATTGAAACAAAACTGGTGGTGAAATTTCACACAGCTCTACTGGACACCTGCTGTCATACTTTTCCCAGGATGACTGGTGGAGGTCCTCCCCACAACCCCAGAACATTCCATGTAATTCCCTTGATTATGATCCATTTATGATGTAAAGGCATAAGACCTTCAAGGAGGGGATTAATGGCTAGAAAATGGTATTTAGAGGTTTGCTTTTGGGAATTGGCTTATAGGTAAAGTAGATATGTATTAGAACAATGATCCAGGGCAATGGCAAGGATTAATTGATTTCTAAAGGCCTGTTTGTGACAAAGTTTCCTTCAAGGCCCACTGTGTCTGACAGGTCAGCAGCAAGCAGACACAGGGGCTGGGAAATTGAAGACGTACCACACTGTTCCATAACATGAACAATATACCCAAACAGAGATAAAGGACTCTGCAGGCTGCAGTGCCAAACTGCAGAGCTCTTTGCATTTCCGGTTTTGGTAGATGGACCAAATTAGGAGGAGACTGGTAAAAGCCCAAATTAGGATGTGTGCATGTAATGGACATGAAAAGTCATCAGAGGGGAGAAAGAATACAAAAGGAAGGATTTCAGGGCAGCAAAGGGACCCTACGAGGGGAACCTGAGGCCACTATGGCCAGAGGGCATACCACCAGCCCATCTCACCTCTACCTCACCCTACTGAGAGGGGACAGACCCTGGCCTTTGACCTCCAGG